ATTTTAAAATTTGTTTTCTAAGTAAGATAGCAGTGTTAAATAGAATGATTATCTCCCATCCCCCTCACTCTGATGCATACTTTAAGAGCTAACAGAGTTGTACCAGAGTTTAGTTACAAGGAGCTTACAGAATACTTAGGGAGGGAGCTGGCATTCGATGAGCATGTACTCCTACTTTGGTAACCTCAGGACAGATGTGAAAGGAAGGCCTTTTGGATTGATGAACTAGGTAAGCACACAGAATTAGGGACCACTGTTCTCCCTGAGCCAATTCACTGATATTTAGTATGAACCCAGAAAATCCTTGGGGGCTTCTGTTAATTTCTTTTAAGAAATTTTTAAAACCGTAGAAAAACACAGTTATGTAACAAAGATTCTGTTACTCACAATTGACAGTTAACATTGCCATAATTACATAAACGTTTTTTGTTAACAAAATAAGTGAAATAAAACAATACAGAAAAAGTTTTGTTCTTTGTATCCCATCTCTAGTTCTATCATGAATTTAGAGTAAATACTTCATGTCTCTCTTTATATTTTTAGTTATATATATTTATATACATGTATATATATGGTGAACAGCGTATGATTTTTTGTGTGTATTTAAAAAAAATTTCCTAAGGTGGAAACTGTATTTTCCTTTTTTTAATTCCTTCTAAAAAAAAAAGGATAAATGTGCAGAATGTGCATGTTTGTTACATAGGTATACATGTGCCGTGGTGGTTTGCTGCACCTACTGACCCGTCGTTCTCTAAGTTCCCTTCCCTTACCCCCACCCCTCAACAGCCCTGGTGTGTGGTGTTTCCCTGTCTGTGTCCATGTGTTCTCAATGTTCAACTCCCACTTAGAGTGAGAACATGCTTCACTAGGAAACTGTATTTTCATCTTGATCAAAGAATTCTTTAAAATATGAAATACTATTTTTAGTCTTGGATTTTTTACATGTAAGTCGTTGAAGTTACTAAGATGCAGCTTTGGAGTAATGATGGGGGCAAGATGGAGGCGTTTAGTAGCTGAGCAAATTCTGGTGTAAGAAGTAGCTACTCTCTGCAGACTCAGTCCTACCAAAGGCATAGGTGGTGCTGATCTCCAGTCTTGTCTGTTCTGTGGTCAGAGATGACCTATAAATACTGTTTGTATGAAAATAAATAGTTGAACTTATGCATTTTTAGTCAAGATATAGCCATTTATATATATGAATACTAGTTAAATATATAGTTAAATTTAAATTGTTTTGCTTGGATTCAGATACATAGTTAAACATATGCATTTATAGTAATGTGCATGTAGTATAGAATATCTTCTAGTTATTTATCTTTGGTAGAATGGGAAAAGGTGCAGTACTTCTTATGAATCTAAGGGTCATTTCCCTTGTATTGTGATCCAATAAACTCTGTTCTTTCCTCAAGCAAATGCTTGAGATACTTAACTTTGGCATTTAATAATTGTGTTTTTATCTATGTGTGTTTCCTCTTAGTAGATTATGATCTCCTCAAAGGCAAAGATAGTATATTTTATTTATTTCGGTACTTTCGATAATACCAAGGGCCAACTAGTCACTGTTTTCTGTTAGACTAGCCAATTTAGTTCATGTAAAATGAAGAAAATCATCATCATCAGATTTATCTGTGTTCTGAGGCTGTAAGGGAATTAAAAACTGAAAGCAATTTTAATAACTGCTTAATAAGTTTAATAACTGGAGCAGCAAATTTGAACAATTAGACAAAAAGTAAATGTGAAATACTGATGTTAATTTCTCTACTATTTCAGAACAAGTTGTGTGTATCTTTTGAAATAAACTCTAGAACCGATAGATGAGCTGTGAAGTGATATCTAATAGAGATGGGTCTAAGAAATAGGCTCAGGTTCCAAGAGGAAATTCTCAGTATGATACTTAGGACTATTTATTGTTAATGATACGGTGGACTGGATTGTCAACCACCAATTCGGGTAGTTCTCAATTTAGAAAGAGATTATGCTGCAAATGTGCTTCATTGATTGTAACTTGGAGTGTATTTTCCTTATAGAAAGAACAGTACAAATGATTTCCATATTAGCATTCTTCTGGTTTTGATACAATTGAATGTATTTTTTCTGCATTTTATGAAGAGTAAATTAATAATTACTAGCATTTTTTCATAATACATTACTATTAAAATAACAGGAATGAAAATATATATTCAAGTATATGTTCTTTTAACTTTTCATTTTTTGCTAGTAAAATAATATCTAGAATTTTATTGACTAGTAAAATTTAAAAAGATAGGCTGGGAGTGGTGACTCATGCCTATAATCCCAGCACTTTGGGAATCCAAGACAGGTGGATCACCTGAGGTCAGGAATTTGAGACCAGCCTGGCCAACATGGTGAAACCCTGTCTCTACAAAAATTCACTGGACCTGGTGTGCACGCCTGTAATCCCAGCTTCTTGGGAGTCTGAGGCGTGAGAATTGCTTGAAGCCAGGAGGTGGAGGTTGCAGTTAGCTGAGATTGTGCCACTGCACTCCAGCCTGGGCGACAGATGAGACTCTGTCTCAAAAAATAAATATATAAGATAAAAAATAAATTTAAAAAGATAGTAGTTTAAATTTTCTATCATTGTTTATTTTTAGAAAGTACTTTCCCCATTAATCTTACCACTTTAGCAAACACTAACAAGTAATGTGTTCTTCTTGGAAATCTACTGAGTAGTTCTCAGAGGTAAAGCCAGATCTACCTCTGAAATATTCTGATTTACAATATCCTTTAAAGTTTATCTGGAATATAATATTTTAGGACCTCATTTATGTCATCAATGACTTTTTAGAATATTTAGCTCATTTTCTTTCTCTTTGCTCTAACCATGTAAATGTTCTTGATATATATTTGGAGGAGGACTTAAATAACAGGAATTGAAATGATGGCAGTCATAGCTTTTATTTATCTGTTTATGCCAGATACTTAAACAGAAGCCATTATTATCTCTATTTTGTGTATGAGGAAACTGAAGCCTAGGTTAAAGGATATGCTCAAGTCACACAGTTAGAGAGATGATAAACTGAGATTTAAACCCAGATTCATCTCATCTCCAGAGCCTGTGATCTTCGTATTGCACCTACTGTCCCAACAAAAGGAAGACTTGGACATTTCCAAATGCTGCATATTTTGAAAAGAACTTGGGATGCAAATACTAATATTATTGTGTTTTTTTCATATCAAAGAATGATATGATAACTTTTGGGTAGAGTGATTAGAGAAGCAGGGTATAAACTATTCAAACCTAAGTATAATATTTTGCACATAAAAAGGTGGATTTGGAGCCATTAGAAGTCCTACCAAAGTCAGGTTCCAGATTCTCTCTCTTCTAATTCTGTTTCATGCTGGACTTTCTTGTTAAATGGAGAATGATTTGTAAGCTGACCTGGAAAAAGAGTGAGAGCAGAACATGTTTTACGTGGGAGATTAATAGTACTATGCAAATAGGGAAGTAAGCCTCATTGAGTCAATAAAATGCTTTCAATGACTGTATGCTGGACTTCAGGGAGCACTGGTAAGCAAGACCTGAATTGTAAACTAGGAATGAATTAGGAGTAGTATAGTGAGATAAATAAACAGGGATGTTGTGGAAACTGAAAGGACAGCTACTTTACTCCTTATGTAATGAATTATGGAAAGGTCTTTCAAAGGCGATAACGCTTGTTTCAAGTTTGTAGGATGAATAGGACTTAGACTAAAAGGGGAAATGAGCAAAAAAAAAAAAAAAAAAAAAAAAACCCATGTACAAACGAAACGGAAGAGTAGTTTTTCAGAGTTCGGGATGCCTTTTGAATGAGCCATACGTAATTCCCATCAATGCCTTGCAAGTCATGAGAGCAAGAAATTGAATGTTCAGTCATTCAAATTTTAGGAAGCAGTTGACTATCTTGTGATATTTTGAAATATTATACCCTGTCAATGGGTTGTGTATGTTTATAGGGAAAACCTATTCAAGTTTTCTACACGCATAGATTATTAGAGCAGCCAGCATCCTCAGAGATCATCTAGTCAGTTCCAATTTTCATTCAACAATAACATTTGCTGTGTACTAGTCACAGGACACAGATGAAAAGATGGATGGACCTTGCCTTCAAGGAACTCACAGCCTAAGAGAGGAAATAAACATACAACTAGTATACAAGTTTAATAAAGTGCTATAATTAAAGAGTCAGGTCCTGTTTAGGCACAGAGCAGAGCTCACTAATTTTTTTGAGGATTAGCTAAGTTAAGTTTTAATTAGATCTTGAAGAATCTAGAAAAGCAGTTCATTTGTGACAGGGAGAGAGGATATTTCAGGTCAGGAGTGTGTTGGTTATTTAAAAGATACAGTTTTTAACATTTCTACTTAAGTTTTTTCAGTCTGGCTTCTTTGAACAAATAAAGATTATCTAAAATAATTAAGCCATGTCATGGACTTTTTTAGTTGTCTATTAATAATATAAGTTAGCCTAAGCATCTGTTTCTCAATGTGTGGTGCTGGGACCAGTGCATCAATATCTCCTGGAAACTTGGAAATGCAACCTCTCAGGCCCCAACCTAAACCTACTGAAACAGAAACTCTAGGGTGTAGAGCCCAGCAATCTGTTTTCACAAGCCTTCAAGGGAATTCTGATGCATGCTCAAGTTTGAGAACCACTGGCCTAAGCTAACAGTAATACATGGAATCATTGAAAGTTCATGGACTTTGAGGATTTGGAGACCTGAATTTGAGTCACACCTCTCCCACTTAATAAGTTTGTGACTGCTAATCTGTCACCTAGTATCTATGAGCATTGAGATTTTTCACCTATCAAATGCAGGTGATAATGCTTTCTTCCCAGATTGTTGTGAAAATTGGTTAATATAATGAGTGTCTAATATTATAACTGGCACACTGTAGGCTTTTGATAAATGGTAACTACTTTTACCATTATTGTTATCTTTTTCTTGATATTTTTTCAGTGATTACTTACTGAATGAAAACATTCTCATATTTTTTCTTACAGATTCAAATGCTCAAGAAATTAAGGACATCTATGGCCTGAATGGACAAATAGAGCACAAACTAGCTTTCCTGAGAACTCATGTGCCAAAGGACATGAAGCTTGTGCTCATTGGCCATTCCATAGGCAGCTATTTCACTCTTCAGATGCTGAAGCGAGTCCCTGATCTCCCAGTAAGTAGGCCTCCAGAGGTGACTGTGGGTGCTTGACTGTGTGTCTACACAAATCCTCCTCACCTTTCCTATGCTCTTTTGTCTCTTGTTTAGTTGATGAATAAAATAGGGAGGGGGATATTTGGTTGCTGCCTTTACTCTTATCTCCATATTACCATGGGCTTATATGTATATGTGTTCATAATGTTTCAAAGAATAATTCCTGGGGAGATAGGAAGTTTCTGAAAGAATGTTTTTGCATCTAGGGTTATCTGGAGTTCTTATGTTACATATTACTTGCTGTTTTTTATCAAGAAAGATTTAAGAATAGTCACTAGGTAAGACCTAAACAAGAATCTGTCTTTTATGGGAGGGTATTTTATAAATATTCTTGCCTTCTCTCAGAAGGAAGGAATGTGTCATCATCATCACTGGTAGGCAAACAGCTGTCTTTATGGAACACTATGTCTTTATTAAGTCATAAATCCAGATCCTTACCTGTTCTGTATCTTGGAAGCCTTTTTGAGACACACATTCATGAATACTCACAAATATTTATTGGGTACCACTCTGTGCCAGATACTGAGTGAGGCACTAGAGACACAAAGACCTATTTAAAGTGCCCAGGAAAGCAAGTGAACTATAAGAGATGTAAAGCAAAACAAAAACTTGTACTTTCACAAACATATGACATTGAAATAACTTACTGAATGGATGCAGTTCACAAGGTAATTCATTTCTTTATTCAACAAAAGTATATTAAGCCCTTTCCATGTGTCAGATCCTGTGCTATGTTTTGAGGACATCCCAGTGAGTAAGAGAGTCTTTGAAGTAGGAGAGCATGGAGCCTCAGGAGACAGTCTAACCAATAAATGTGATACCTGCTGCCCTGTTTAAGTTCAGGTGGTGTGAGAGCATGGAGTGCTGTTAAACCCAGTAATCTGAAGCCGAGATAGGACATGATCCCTTTGTGGCTGCTTTGTGCTAGGATTTTGACTGTTTCTCACTCCATGGGATAAAATACCTTCAGTGGGATCTCAGAGCTCACTAAGTGTTCGCTCCTTTTCTCGCCAACTTGACCTGCTTGCTTCTTACTCATAATTGTCCTTGGGAAATGTACAACTATAGTCTCCCTTGCCGTGGTTTTTAATACCAAATGGAGCTTTTAAATTTTCTTTTATTGGGTATAAGAAAACGTATTTTTCATTTCTAAGCATGAATTCAATAAATTCAAGTTTGTACTCCATTCACTGTGTTATTGTCTACTTTGTTGGGTTTCTTCCCTAAATAAGATTATCTTAATCAGAATGTGAGCTTTATTTTTGCTTTTAGCATTTTCCACAGCTTCTAATCTCTTTTGTGCCTCTGAAGCCCCCTCAATTACTGTGTCATGTGGTTGCCACCTTTATGGTGTCCAGCAGCTCTGCCTCTTAGTGGTTCCACTTCTGTAGTTGCTGTGAGTTCTGGCACTAGAACCAGGACACCTAGGTTCCAATATTTATTGTCATTTTTCTTTTTTTTAGTCTGTCTGATCTTAGACAAATTATTGAGTCTCCACCTCAGTTTTGAGTCTCAACCTCGGTTTCCTCATTTGTAAAATGGAGAAAATAATATGTTCTTCAAAGGATTTTTGTGAGGAATTATATAAAGTATTAAGAATGACATCTGGAACTTTAAAGTTCCAAATAAGTATTAGCTATTATTATTATTATTATTATGGAATAACTCTAGAGTCATTGTCTCAGTAATTAGGTTAACTACCGTATTAGGTATCTACTGCTATGTATCAAATTGCCCCAAAACTTAGCAGTGTAAAACAATTCACATTTCTTCACTTGTAGTTTCTGGTCAGAGGCCTGGCCACAGCTTAGCTAGGTTCTTTGCTTCAGGGACTCTCCCAAGATTTTAACCAACATGTCTGCCAGGGCTGCAATCTTATCTGAAGGCTTTAGTTGAGACGGATCTGCATCCAGGCTCACTCCTGTGGCAATTGACAGGATACTGTTGCTTAAGGGTTATTGGACAGAGGGTCATCATTCAGTGGTGGCAATTGGGTGGAGGCCACCTTCCTTAGCATGTTGGTCTGTCTAGCTTGCTTTATTAGAGCAATCCTGGAAGAAGAGCCAAGGAGACAGCCTGCTAGCAAATGAAAGTCACAGGCTGTAACCCAGTTACAAAGTGACTTCCCATCACGTTTCCTGTATTCTTGTTTGAATCAAGTCACCAGGTCCAGCCTGCACTCGAGAGAAGAGAATTACACAAGGGCATGAATACTAGGAGGTAAAGGGCATTGGGAGCTGTGTCAGAGCTGCATACCCACCACTCTAAAATTAGGATTTCACTGTGTGTTGTGCAGTCAAGCACAGGGACATAGGATGTACATAAATTAAAGTACTGCATTTATTTTCTGGTATAGGCAGTGACTTGGTCCTGTCAAAAAAAAATGTAGCAAACTGGCATGAAATATAATTATTTGTTGTTAGTTGTTCCAGGTGTCCTAAATGCTTTAAAAACATTAAAAAGGATACTTAACATATTTGAAATAATAGCATTACTATTCTGTAAGCATAGAGAACATGCTCGTTTCTGAGCTTATCACAGGCTAGTGTTAATCACAGATCTGTTTTGGTTTTTGTGTTTGCTCCAGGTCTTTTCTGCATGTGATGTGTGGTTTCTCTTTTGTGTATTTGCAAATGATTGTTCAACGCATTGTCTTGAACATTGTCTCTCTTTTGGGCTCATATTCACAATGTCTATTGGGAAAGAAGTAGAATGCAGCCCAAGGTGAATGTGCTTTCTTATAGCTTTTTCAGCATCATGACTTTCTAATTATTGTCCTGCCTTCAGGTGTCCTTGCTCTTGCAGGAACAGTGGTGAAAAGGGGAAACAAAGATGGAACATGAGCTTAACCTACTTTATTTGTGGAGACATAACTGAAACTGATGATAGAGTTTTCAGAAAGACATGTGAAGCTGTGTTTTACCTTCTTAAAAACGGTGTAGGCTAGAAAATAATGTGTGCAATAAATTGTCCAAAAGGTCACTTATTTTGGGGGACGGTGGGAGCAGTGAACATCTGTATGATTTTTAAATTATTATTCAGAAGCATTATCTGGTTTCAATTAACTACAGTGTTGAAATTCCCCACCCCATCCCCAGCCCCCATTAAACACCTGGGTCAGTGAATATTGGTGGTGTGATCCCAGCCAAAGTGTTGAAATTTCAGTGTCTCTGGGCTACACTCAGACACCACAGTGCCTGCATGCCTGAAGTTAGCATAACATGCTCCATTTAAGATGCATTTGACAAATAAGTTTGTGTAAGCCAGAATGTTACAATCCTTAATCATTTTGCCAAAAATAAGTTAGCTATTATGTTTTATAACATATGAAGTGTGATAATAAGAAACTTGTGTTTCCATCTCTTCTGTTATTTGTACTGGAATATTTGACTCATAAGATTTTGAGGACATACGTGTAGTTTAGTAGCTAGCTGGTTTATTTAGTTTTATTTTGGTTCAGCTCTTTGCAATATTTTCATAACTAATTAAAGGTAACTTGGTCTTAAATAATTTAAGAGACTTACTGTATGTCAGATATATTGTCTGACCTGTATTTTAATATAATTTTAAAAATTACCCGTTTAAAACAAAATCTGGTATTTAAAATTATTTGTTTAAATAAATTCCATACATAGAATTAGAAATATTCTTCATATATTTTGAAAGTAATGCTCAATATAGAGAATTTAAGGAGAATCTTGAGCAAATAGGTAATTGGAAGACTGTTAAATAGTAGCTATCACAACTTATAATAATAAACATAATTGTTTTTAGAGTTATAGGATCTTAGAACTGAGATAGGCTTTAGAGACAAAATCTGACCCCATCTTTCATTTTATCAATGGAAAGTGAGAGAAAGGTCCCTTGCCAGGATTCAGCCTTGGTTCTGAATCTGGGTGGGGTATACCGGTATTAGCTGTGAGTATAAAAAGAATCTAAGACGGTGTCGATGGTTCCTTCAACCTGTGGATGATAGCAGTCAGTGTGTCCTGCAGTGCATACAACTGCCAGGTTCGTGTGACTCATTGTGTTGGTGCTTCAGGAGTAGGAAACCCCTGAAAGCCCTAGCAATTTCAGTGTTGTGTGTTGGGGTGAGGGGAGACTAATACAGAAGGAGAAAAGTAGTAATCTTATCCCCACTATCTAGAATCTTGTTTCTCTTATCATCAACCCTCTATATGTTAAAAATGTGTCACCTGATTTTGCCAGTAAATCTTTTCCATAAAGTTCAGTTCAGTGATTCTGCACTGAGTCTTGGGGTGAACTTCAAGTAATATAACTTTAATTTTCCTCTAATAATTTATATAATCTTTAATGACAACATGTCCTCTTCTTCCAGGGATATCAGATCCTTCATAAACTTAATTTTTTATATTATTTGGCCTTCATGTTTCCTTTGTGTAGTTGGCAAAAATGTCTTCTCTCTGAATGAAATTTCCAGATTACTTACGAAGTCACTCCTTTAAAGACCAGACTGTTTTTTCCATCTGGATAAAAATTTGTCTAAAATATATTATTTGCTTATCTGCCTTCTTCAACAATGCATATTGACTATGGAGGAATTTTTTCGTAGTTATTTAAGGGCAGTGGTAATAACACTATTATTTGGATAGTGTTGTGCCAGAATGAAATGTAACAAAAAGAAATGTGCCTGTGTCCTGAAATTTCTTAAGTGATAGTGTTTTTTCATTTAAAAAAAAAATGTTTCATGTGTGTCTATTTTAGTTTTTCTATCTTCCCTCTCAGTGTTATGTACCCCTTCTCTTCCCTACTTCTAATTTATTGCTGCTGATTTGCTGTGGGCAGAGAAAACTGAGAACCACATTGTCATCTTTTTCAGTATGAATGAACAGGTCCTAAATAAAGATAAATGAGTACAATTGACAGCATTAAATGTGTGGATGTTGTTATCACTCATAGCCTTTCTTTGTCTTACTTCTTTTGAGATCCTCAAAAAGGGT